ATATATATATATATATATATATATATATATATACCAATTTTGTGCAATGATTACTTTAAATTTAATGCTTAAGCATAGTTAATAATTTGCACTAATTATAATATCCTAAACTATCAAAATTATTTCAAATTAAATTATTAAAATATTTTATTTAAACAAGTTAGTATAGAATAAAAATAATACCATATTATGTTGCGTCCAAATAGCTTTTCTTATGTTATAGCCTTCAATTCAACAGTTTGTGAAGGGTTTATTGTGTCCACATTGTCAGATGAATTATTGCGTTTTCGAGAACATTTAGTTTTGGATATAAACAAATCAGAAACATAAAATGCCTAAAACATCAGTGTATTATAAATACTTTATCAAAACAAAATACACAATTAAATATAAATTAATAGACAATTATAATTTATTAAATTCAATGAGAAATTATGATATTTATTTATGTTTAAACATTTTCTACAAACCAACTATTTTTTATATAAAAATTTATAATTATTTTGATCTTTCATTAGTATAAATTATTTAAAAGTTTTAGATTAGCTAATTAATATAATTGTTATACAGTTATAAACTTTAGAGTTATAGAAATAATTTATGATTCAACAGTAATATTTATATTATTTCTAAAAATAAAATAGATAGATCAGTTTTTAATTGATATTATTAAGGATAGCTCTTAAATTATGGTTTATATCATTATTTAAAATAATTAATTTTTATATTTTATTTTTAATTCTATTTTAAATTAAAACTAATTACTACAAAATATTTCTAAATATAATTATTGTTATAATAATTAAAAAATTGAATTAATTTGTTTATAAGTTAAATAAAATTGATAAACTATGTTATCTATCTAGAAAATGATTGGTTATTATATTGGCTAAAAATTGTATAACTGATTCTTATTCTACTACTCATTGTAGATCATGAGAAATTTTTAATGAACATGAACATAATTTTTTAATGTGCATGATTTGATTTTGTTGGTGACTTAGTATATGTCAACTTTGTACTCATAAAAGATTTAAAATTTAAATATTTCATTATTTAAATTATTTATGACCTAATTTTTTTTTTAAGTATAGAAAGAATTTTTATACTGAGATTCATAATAAGAAATTTAAAATTAAATTATATTTTAAAAATTCATTTCAGAACAAATTTATTTTTTGAAATTGATAACTCTTGTAAAAATAGTAGTCCTATTTATTTATTTATACTTCTTAAAAATTTTTTTTAAGAGGTTATTGGTTTTATTTAAACTATTTTAATTATTACACGAGATGTAAATAAATGGTTTACCTAAATTAAATTAAAAATATAAATAATGAACTCGTGTTTTAATAAATAATATGACAATGTTACAATACAAATTTAACAAATTAATAATTTTAATAAAAAAAATACGTTTATAAGTGATTTACAAAGATCAATATAAAAGATTTAATGAATTTAAATTTTTTTCTTTTTAATAGATTTTTTATTACAACTTATCATCTGGCTTACAGTTAATGTTGCTATTAGTGATCCTAAAAGGGTACCAGCCAATACATCACTCCAATGGTGTTTGTAGTTGCTAACTCGCGTAAGTGCACAATATGCTGCCATTAATATAACAATGAACTGAAAAAAACTTTTTGCCATACCATATTTTGCTATTTTAATTCGAGATTGTAAATAAACCTAACAAAAATTTATTATAAGTGTAAAATAAATAAAATTAATTAATTAAAAATGTATTTACAGCTAAATACACCATGCAGTAAAATGATAATGAAGAATGTCCAGATGGAAATGATAATCGACTATCCTTTTTTCTATGATCATCTGAATTTTCACATGATATATCTTCAATATATCTAAATTGATTACCTGGTTCTGTACATATTTTAGAAAGACCACAAACATCTAGAAAATGAGGTCTCAATCTTCCAATGGTATATTTACCCACATCAGTAGTTAATTGAGAACAGGCTGCACCAAACAAAAACCACAAAAGGTTATTGTAAGCTGAAAATACCCAATTTGGAATATTTTTTCCAAAAAGAGAATATTGTGCTTGCTCTGATTTTTGTAATAAATATTCTACTGTCAGAATCTAAAATATAATGATAAAAAACTTAACAATATAAAAAATGGAAAAACAAAAATCAGATTATATTATTTACAACAAGTGTAGGTAGTCCTAATCCAACTGAATACAGAACACTTGATGGAACAGTTGATTCCCTAAATGGATAGCGTATAGATTCATCATTACAATAGAATCCTCTTTGATATGGTTCACCACTCAAATAAAAGATTAAAACAGAAAATCCAACTGAAAAAAATAAAAACAATAAATATTATGAAAAAAACTATTTTTTTGGAATTTTATTGATATTTTTTATTTTTATTTTAAAACAATTTGAATATTTCAATATTTTATAAACATTTGAAAAATACTATTAATTATCATTAATAATTAATATTAATTAAAAAATGATATTCTTTTAATTTGTTTTGTTTGATGCAAAATATAACCAATGGTTTAAATAAGATTTAATGTTTGTATGCTGTTAATCTTATTAAATAACAAAAATATTACAAAGTTTACATCATATTAAGAAATTTCACTTTCTCTTGGAGTCACTGCAATTAAGTTGTTTTACATTACTTTAAGAATAAATGTTATGTTTGTAATTGACTATGATTACATTATGATGTTTTAATTAGTTTAGACACATACATGTAGGAATATTAAAATTATGATTATGTAAACAACATTAGGAAATATTATGATAATAGAACTATTGATGATTAGGAGCTTAAAAGAACAAAAATTATAGGAATGTTAAACTTTTAATTTCACAAGTTGAACAATTATTCTAATTAAACAATCTCATACTAATTATTTGATGGTAGAAATAGGCAATAACCATAAGTTAATATTAACAACAAAGATTATACACAAACTGTTAAACATAAATTAAAAACAAATAAATTAAATTAACTACATATCAAGAAAATATGTAGTTTAATATATTTAATCATATTTCAGTCCACTTCTATAAAAAATTTGAATATATGTTAGAATTATAAACAGAATTTCGAAGTAAAAATACATTTTAATGCTAATTGGTATTATAAATATTAAATTATATTTGGTATATTTAATCATTATTTAAGTATCCTACGTTACCAACATCTAAAAAAAAAACATCTTAAAAAATAGTTAAACAATTTTTAGTAAATAAATTGAAATTACCTGACCCAAGACAAACAATATCAACAGCAATTTTTTGAACAAAATTTTTTGAATCTCTATCCATAATTCTGCTAATTACAGATGATAAAAGGTATAAATTTTTAAATAGTTAAAATGTTTTTTTACTAAATAGGTATTCTAAGTTAGAAAACTAAAAAAACAATTTTTAAAATAAGTAAGATTCTAAATTTCCCATCAACTGAATATCAATAGTGTAATAGTAGTTTACATTTACACCAAGATGATTGATATTGGTTATTCATAATACTGAATGTAAGATATATTCGACATCCTTTACTGACAATGAATCAATGTGTAGAATAGCGATGACGTCATGTTTCACTAATTTTGGGTTTATGATAAAAGGTATTATTGGACATTTATGCTATCAATTTTTAAACTCGAGGTGCTATTCTTCAATTGAAAAAATTACTGTTTCACAAATAGTGTCATAAAATTATATATTAAAGAAAGAGTCAACTACCTAGTAGTAATTTATTTTTGTGGTACAGTTAAATTATTTCAACTAATATCTACAAAAAATTATTGTATAAATAATTATGCAATAATTAGTGATGGGCATAATCGAGATATCTCGATTATGAAAATAATCGAGATATTTCGATTATTGAAATCATATCTATTATATAATCGAGATATTCTGATTTTTAAAATAATATTGATTATTCTATAATCGAGTGATTATTTCTAATGATTTCTCGTTTATTATAAAAACAATGATTTCTTGATCTTGAAATGTATATAATCGAATAAAAGTTATTTCGAATGATGTCCATGAAACGATGAAACGAGAGAATACTATTTTTAAGTTTTTATTTAGCATAAATTATAGTCGAATTATTATTAAATTGTTGACTTCAAGTCTTATTTTCAACTCGTTCAATCGCTACTCATGGCAACACCTTATCTGTCACATTTTTGGGAACTATGTGACGATTAGAACAAAGTTTTGTCCTGAACTGGCTGAACTACTGAGTTCTGATTCTCTCACTAGTTGTGAATTTATGAAAAATCAATTAGGTGTTTTAATTATGATGGTCAAGCAGGCTATTGCTACCTTATCTTATGTTTTTATTTTTAAATTTGTTATCGGTTTTTTTAAAATATAGGTAATAATTATTAAATAAAAAAAAAAACAACTTGTCTTTTAATTAAAGCACTTATTAATAATGCATTATTAATATATTATTGTTATTATTATTCCTAAATTATAGTTTAATATATCAATTATAAATAAACACCAACAAATAAAAAAAGCAAAATTAAATTAATAATTATTTATTATAGGTATATTTATTCAAATTTCGTATAATTTTTCGATTCTCTCGATAAATAATAATAGTTGATTATTCTTATCATAGGAGCAGACGATTTTAACTTCGAGTGATTTTTCGAGAGATTCACTCGATTATAAAAATGTCTCGATTACTAATCATTCGATTATCGAAATCATTCGATTATGCCCATCACTAGTAAGAATCAGTAATACTTCACTAGAGTGCGTATGTATTCACAATTAAATAATAAAACATTCTATTCATTAGACAAGGACTAATTATAGACTAATTTTTAATTTACTTGTCCTTGCTCAAAGTATTTCCGGAACATTTCCAAAAGTTAAGTGGAAAAGTTAACTTTTCATGCAAAAGTAGCGGTTTTGAATCCCCTCAGTAAGTGGTTAAAGGTTAGATTTCCAATAAATATATACCTAAAAAGAAATTATCTGAGGTATTTATTAAAAAATTTAACGTTAAAATTTATAGAATAAAAAAATTGTAATTATTTTGGAAAATTTCCACCATTAACGAGAAACAAGGATAATTTTTCATTTTTTAAGGGTAATGTCTTCAATTAAATGTAATTTCTGATTATTTGACATATCGTTGAGAAAAATCGTTTCAGTGAGAGATGAGAAAAAGTAGTGACAAACACAAAAAAATAAATGCATCATATTAAAATTAATACCTTCTCAGATCCGTATCGTAGCTAAAATTTAATTAAGGCGTCTGGCTACTGACCGCTTTTTAGTCAAAAAAACCCGTTTTTGTTCCATCAGTACGACGAAACTACTGATGCGATAAGAATTCTGAAAACATATCTGAATTCAGCATCATGTCACTTAGGTATCGGTCAGGCCATATTTTGGATATTTTGATGTTTTTAACCCTTTATTACAGTTTTTTATTTTCGAATAATTTTAAAATTTTCAAAATAAATTTTTATGTTGAAGGAATCACAATTTCAATAAAGTGGCCTAACCGATACCTAAGTTACATGATACTGAATTCAAATTTGTTTTCAGAATTCTTATCGCATCTGTATTTTTGTCGTATTGATTGAACAAAAACGAGTTGTTTTGTACGCTCAAACTAATGGTTTTCAAATAGTAGCTGTTATATGTGACATGCTCGTGCGCGTATATGCGTTATCCGCAGCAGCTATTTTATTGCCCATAGGTTGCATAGGGCAATACCGACTGCCTAAAAATAGTTACAATACATACTTGATATTATACCAGTATATATGATATTATATTATTTGCTTTTATCTTATTTGCAAAGCTATCATTACATAGTGAGAAACAAATTTTGTTGTTATATTCCTATATAAGTGTAGCTAAAAAAATGGGGTTATAAAAAAATATCGCTATCAAAAAAAAAAAAATAGAGGTAATATATTAACATTATATAAGTGGCATCAAAAAAAAAAAATCTGGTGAGGTACGTATATATAAAAATAATTTTCATACACTCTTAGTTTCGATAGAAAACTGAGAAGGTATTAGTTTTACTATGATGTGTTTTTTGCTTGTGTCTATCCATATTTGTACCTACTGGACATTTATTGTTCAACGATACTCCAAAAGATCAAAAAATATATCTTGTTGATGTATTCAGCATTATATTTTAATAATTTCTCTTTAAATCTGACACAATAACGTAATTTTCTCAGTCGCACACAATGTTATCAAACTAGATCTAACACTAAGTAACTGATGTTATGAGCTTTTTATTTCAACACATTTGAAATGTACACATACATAAAGTGCTTGATCATCGAATAAATAAATCTCTTACATTAATTATAAAATGAATTTTAAACTACGTACAATAAAAAAATCATTTTTTTAAAAAAAGGTGGTCAGAATTGAGTGATAATGAGATATAACCTACATTTAATATAATACAAAGTGCTTAGAATTCGTGAAGTATAAGTGACATTTCAAAAAAAAAAAAATTATTTAGGTACACCCTCAGACTGAAAATTAATAGTTCTTATTAGTAGGAAAAAATTGTAAATAAAAAACACATTATTGTAAAATGAGGATACCACTTCAGCTACACATGAAAATTAAAAAATAAATACAATATATATTATTTTGGTAGAATGTTTCCAATTCTCAAACTAACATTTTACTTGACATACCTCAAACAAGTAACGAGAAGAATTTAATAAATGAGTGAGTAATTTTTTCACGAAGAAAATTTTTTAAAGAAGGGCAAGGTTAAAATATAATTTATTAGAAACAAACATTTTTTTTTCTTTAGAAAAATTGGAGATGATAGTTTTTATGATTTTTTACCATTGTTACACAGTGCATAAACTCTTGATTCTTGTAAAAAAATTTCTTCAGAAGTTAATCAACCAATAATTCAAAAAGAGTTAGTTTACTTTTTATAGTATTATTTTACAATGAAATTAATACACATATTTAACTATTTTAGGTATAATTTAAACAGTCGTAGAATAATAAATATTGAATATTTTTTTAATAGTTTGAAATCAATTAAACACGAGTTATTTGCCTGTAATTTTTCAAATCTTGTAATTAAAACTGAAGTTCAAAGGGGTTTTTTTCAGAATTTCACTGTGAATGTAATTTTTGCAAAAAAAAATAAATTATTTATTCAGAGGATCCCAAATAAAATTTTTCTCTAAGTATAAATACTGCAGTTGTTACTGCTACTTTGAATACTGGTCAGGGGTTTACAAATTTAGAACAGTTTTCTGCTGTACTAAATATGCCTTGTATGAGTAATAAGATGTATCAAATATATCATAATTACATTACTAAGCAAACTGAAAAAAATGCATGGGATTCGATAGTTAGCGAGGAAAGAAGAAACTATGCTTGCTATTGAAAATGAAGAAGTAAATGACAAAGGACTTCCCATAAGAACAGGCTTATAAAACTTAAATATTTTAGTGTGTAATAATGTAATTTTGTAAATTGAATTCTTATAATTAAAATTAGTTTTTTTATAGTTTTATAACTTCAAAATAATCGATGTGGATCTCATATGATTTAACTTGTTTTCTGTAAATATTTAGTTTTTCTTAATCCTCGAAAATAAATAGTTTAATTATTTTTATAATCAATTAAAATTTGTGAAATCATGACGCGTCTATCAGTATTTACAGTGAGGCTGGTGCTAAACCATAGTTTTTATACTACATAAAATAAACATATGTCGTTATCAATATAATCGTATTGTATCAAAAAGTAAGGCAGGTACACAACCAGTTTTGTTATCGACTATAACACGACGAAAATACTCCCAATAATGGACACTCACACTCATAATTATTTATTTCTCACACAACGACACTGCGTAACATTATAAACCGCAAAATTGCCTTTATTCGACCCCTGAAAAAAGGTCAGTACCCAGACGCCTTAAATACTTGATTAGCAAATTCTTTATGAATACGTTGTAAATGATATTTATAAAAATTTCTATCATATTGCATCGTCAAAATGTCGACACAATATTGTTTATTTATTGTTAGAAGGTATGAGCCTTGTAAATGACAGAGTCATAACATTATATCTTTTTCACAAAAAAGGAAAAACAATTAAAACAGGTCGTAAAACTCATTGAGTTAATTTTTTTTTTAAACTTTAATGATAACTAAAAATTTGAATAAAAACAACCAGCACAGTGAGGACGCGTAATAGTTAAAATAAGTATAGAAGACGATAATTGACATCGCTATCTAAAAACCGTTGCAAATGTATTGAATTTCACAATAATTTATATATTTGAAATTTTACGATTTCTATGTTTTAAAATTTCACTCAAGATTAATACTTGTTGAATTATTTACTTAACTAAAAATAAAGATTTTTGGAAATTTTTTTTTAATTTGATGGCCGATTTTTAGCTTCGATGCGAAGCTGAGAAGGTATTGATTTTACTAAGATGTTTTTTTTTTTTTT